GCAAATGCTTTGGATTGATATTGAAGATGTGAAATGGAGCCCAAGGTTTAATGTATACTTTCCAAGTGCAGTAAAGCAACCCCCAGGGAATTTGGTGATTGACTAAATTATTTGTAGTGAAATCATCTCCATAGATGTGACTCATATTTTTAATATCCAAAGTTTATACACAGAATATAAATTAAGATTCTATATTTTGAACATTTGTTACCAAATTCCTTTAAAAAATTCCTTCATGGAATAAGATGCAAATTGGAATACACTTGGCAGAATCCCTCCAAGCACATGGAAGGCAGCAGCATCACACCAGCAGCTGCTTTGGTCCCAGTGTTTCATCCTGTCAATAAAAAAATCCTTGATGTGCTATTGAATATACCGTTATCTTGACAGCCATCTTCATGTAATATTCAAGATAGCTTTTACACAGTCTCAGTTATAATATTAGCCTGAGATCTGATGCTTGCTCTTTATTTAAGGGATAATGAACTTGATCTGATGTTTTCTGTTCTGTGAGCCAATTCAGACTTGGAATCCTCCTGGGCAGATATCACTGTCTTTAACTGACTGTGAAGTTAAGATCTTCCTAGACAAACCATATCTATTCTTATCAATTATTGTTCTATATCCCTAGTTTCGCTCAGATTTAACTCAAGAGCTATTTTCATCAGCTTTCCACCAGATATTGAGTCTAATCTTTGAAATATTGAAACCACTGAATCCCCACCATCTAGGATAACAAAGAACAATCTTTAAAATCTCTATCTTGGTTCCAAAAACAAACATATGTTGGTTCCATGACATTCATTTTCTCAAAACTATTCCAATATTGCTCCTTTTCCGAAGACTATTGGGATTGTAGTTTATTAAACTGAAACTTGGGTTTTGAAAGGAAAACAGGAAGGGAGGGAGGGAAGAAAGAAACTGAGCAAATACAAGCCTCCAAGAAATATGACCTGAAAGGATATGTCAACATGAACTTTTTTTATTATTATTACTTTTAGGTAACTCAGTCTTTTTTACATAAATGCTCAGTCTGTCTGATTTTTACAACCATACCCTGCTTCTCAGCAAGATGGCAACTGGACATATTGGAGAAGTGGAGCTTAAGGTGATTCATGACTAAAGGAGGAAGAGGAAACTATGTGCAGGCCTTTAATATCCTCTGGCAGTAAACCTAGGCTGCAGGCCCCACTAGCATTTGTGGTCAGTTCCCTTTGCCACTGGGTCAGGGCCTGCAGTTGTCCCTGCTGTACAACTCACTGTCACATCACCAAACACTGACAAAAGATGTGGCTGTAACTCTCCTTTAGTCATGAGCACAGGAGGTCTGCCCCACAGCCTCAGTGACAAGATCATCACATTCCTGCTACCATGATTTCCTCTGTCAATCTTCCCTCACAGACTGGGTTGTCTCTTCTTCAGAGTCCTGACCCTTCCATACAGGTGCAAAGCACAGTTCACAAAAGTTAAACTCATGCTGTGCTTGTACTCGGAGATCACCTCCAAGGGATATCTTTGGACAGAGGTAATCCCCGAAAGTCCCCAAGGTAGGACAGGAGCCCAGAAAGAGATGAGGATGCACTTGTCCTGTCCTCTGCCTCTCCTTCCTCACTCTCAAGGCTCAAGGATGGAAAGGGCAGACTTTCCACTTCCTCTACATTTTATCCTGAGATTTCCCTATAGAGTGAAATACCTAAGTTGTAGTCAAAGAGTTCTCAAAGCATGGTTTGGGGAGCCTAGGGGTCCACAAACCTCTTTCAGGAGATCTTCAAGATCAAAACCATTCTCATAATGCTAATGTATGGTTTGCCTTTGTTATTCTAATTATTTTGCAAGTATAAAACGGGGTTTTCCAGAAGTTACCTGATGTGTGATATCACAAAAGACTAAACACAAAGGCATATAAGACGATCCTGCAGGACATTAAGAAGTGCATTCTTCTCATTAATTTTTTCCTACTGTCTTAGTCTGGAAGCTCTACTGAAACCCATCCATCATGGGTGATCCTGCTGGTATTTGAAATACTAGGTGGTATAAGTTCCAGCCTCACAGCAACATGCAAGCTACCACAGTATATCAAACTGACAGACAAATGTTTACTATTGAACTTTTAAGACAAATCTATAAATTTTTTTTTTACATTTTCTCAGTTTTAAATTCTAATACAGTAAATATCAGTAGACATAACTCACATAATCAAAAACTCTTTGGGGTTCTCAATAATCTTTTAAGAGTTAAGAGACATCTTGAGATCAAGAAGTTTGAGATTCATTGCTCCAGTCCACCAGGCCTACCTCTTGATCTATTAAAGAAACTGTTATTTGGAAATCCCACCACCACCATCCACACAAATAGACCACAGTCTCACTAAAGAGCTCGGGAGAATCAACAACGGTCAAAAGCTCCTGTCTGTGCCAGGATTAGAGCTCTCCATCCCTGATCAGTAAGCCTATGGTTGACACTTGAGTGAAAGATTTAAGGTAACATGATTAAAGGGGAGAATTTAAAAAGTGGAAGCTCAATATCTACAAAATATTGCCCACATTACATATTTTCACATATAAATAGCACCCACACAAATAACACACAATACATATAACATGCATGGCACACACAGGTAACTAACACACAAAGGGGTTCTGTGGTTTACAAATAAAGCATATAACATGCACTTTATTCATGTAAAAATATGGTACTCTCATATGTGAGAGGATTAGGAGACCAGATGAGGGACCTTTTTATAATAAACTAGGTGATGCCCAGTTAGAGGCCCAAGTGACAAAGGGTGATCTAGCATAGGAAAGCAGACATTCTCATTCATTACCCCCGTTCAGTACAGCTCTGGCTCTCTGACAGCTCTAAGTGGCCTAGCTGTGGACAGCCACATTGTTCTCCTGAGGGTTCCCACAAAAGAGGTGGTGGAGGGGTGCTCTTCATAAGGAAACTCAAATGTAGACCATCAGCAAAGTTTTCTTGACACTTAGGGCTCCCAGAAGGAATATAATAAGGGAGGATCAAACATGTGGGGGCCAGGAACTATCAAAATTCAACTATTAATGCTGATGAAATTATACATTTACCTGTGGGCTGGTGAAACCTGGAACACAGTTATAGATGATATGTACCTATAAAGCGTGTTTGGTTACATATTTGTATATTTATACTCTACCTAAGCATTAATTTCCTGATTCCACTGTGTTTAGCTATACCTCCTAAGAAGAGCTCTCAGTATATTAGGATGTTGAGGAATATAAAGATTTTTCAGTTAAATGCATCAGGTTATCAAGGTGATAATTTCATTCTTGTTCTGAAGTATTGGAAATACTGAAAAATTTTAGATGTAGGTGTTTGGCTGAGAGAATAAGCTGGAAGCAGTCCTAAATACATTTTGGCAGAGAGAATAGGAACTTGCTTTTTCAAATCTTGTAATGATGCCAAATGTTCTCTCTTCCATTGACATTTTATTAAAAATGTTCACCTTCTAAGTGCTTAAAAAATAATTAATTAATTAAAGGTAGTGTAGCAAATGTTGGATATTTTTTCTGAAATTTTAGCCACAATGATTACCATGCCAAGTTGTCTCAACTTTCTGCATGCTATGAAAGCAGAGCTCCATTTTCTATAATCAGTCAAAGGAATATAAGTGAATCATCTTCCTGAGGCCCAAATAGATTTTCAAGGGATTTTTTTTGTCTTTTAAGTAAAAGAGACAGCATGCTTTCTATTTTCTTCCTTCCTTTTTTTTTTTTTTTTTTCACTCAGATGCACCTGTTACATTTTTACCACTACTTATCAGGATCAATTATGTGTCCAAACAATCTTCTAAGCTGTTTGAACATCTGCTATCGTATTTTATCCCCTAACAAAAGAATTCTAACAGAAACATGAGTTTAAAGATCACAAGTTTGTGATTCAAAATTAGGAAACAGAACACAGGTAAAGATCTTGGGTGGTAAATTCTCTAAATGTAGCTATCTGGGAGATAGATTGCACAACAGAAATGGCATAATCTTTGAATATAGGAAAGCCTGGTGTCAAATTCTAACCCCACAGTTCACCAGCTTTGTGATCTTGTTTGATAGTTTAAATGGAAGTTACTTTTGATAGAATAATAAGAAGAATATTTCTATTTTTTAAAAGGTTAGTTCTGTGCCTCATTTCAAAGAAAAGAAAAGAAGGAAAGAAAAGTTAGTTCTCTTTCCTCCTTTTTGAATAGGTAGAGTTCAACACAATAGTGTGAAAAAAGAGTCTTTCCAACCTGCTCTCCTTACTCCCTCAAATGAGCTCTCCACTTTATTTATATTGTTACCTGCTATGTTTTAATGACAGCCTCTCAGGTTCGGTTCTGTAGCTTCACAATCTTCTTCTAAGCATTTGAACTATGTGTTTTGTGTTTGACCCTCAATGAATGATGATTTGAATATTACACTTATCTCTTTTTACAGTAGTGTTTTCTCTTTATAGAAATAATAGTATTATTTTCTTTTCCCAGTTGTAAAAGGACATAGAAATTATACAGTGTTTGTTTGGTGTTTGTTAGCTTTACTTCCTTTGTATGTGATGGCACTTTTCCTTTTGCATGGCTTATATACCTTGTGCATCATTCTCACTGTAATTTAAGCTTTGGTGAAATTGTATTAATGACATAATTCTATAAAAATTGTAAAGGCAATTATATAAACAAATCTGTAGGGATAAGGAGAGAACTTCTTGATAAGCTCCAATTTTAAAGAGACATAGTCAACAGAGAAGAAAAAACCTGAAGACATGACTAGCTAGCAGCAGAACTTATAAACCTTTCACAGGTCCACAAAGGTCAAGGAGGAATAAGTCTACCACTTAAGACCAGTGGTAACTGGAACTCTTCTATTTTACTTATTTATTTATTTATTTTATGATCTTCTCTCATCTTCTTATTTTTCTATACTTATTTTTATTTTGTTTTTTATAGCCTTCTCCTTTACCCAAATTAATAGATATCTACCCTCTAGTTCCTTCAGTGACCACAGCAGGACTTGAACCTGCAATCTTCTGATCTAAAGTCAGATGCCTTACCCATTAGGCCACACAGCAATGTAGTGCCTAAGCCATTTGACTGCTATCCAGAAGATTGGCAGTTCAAACCCACCAGCCACTCCACAGAAGGAAGACTGGGCAATCTACTTCCATAAAGATTTACTGCCTCAGAAACCCAAAGGGGGTCACTATGACTTGGAATTGACTCAATGGCAGTGAGTTTTGGTACCCACTATATAGTTGTTTACCTTCCTTGCCCCTCCCACCCCTGGTAACTAACAAAGAATGTTTCTTTTTGTGTGAAACCCTTTTCTTCGCTTTTGACAATAATGGTCTCATACAATATTTGTCCTTTTGCAATTGACTAATTTCACTCAACGTAATGTTCTCTAAATTCATCCATGTTTTTAGATGTTTAGCACATTCACTGTTGTCCTTTAATGTTGCATAATATTTCTACATGCATCATGTTTATTAAGAGAATGATGTCAACACTGAGAACAATCCCTCCTTATGTTAAAGTTCTATGATTCTATGATTTATATCCTACCTTCACTACCATTACAGTTTCTGCCACATAGTAGACATTCATTAGACTGTAGTGTGAATGAATGAATGGCAAAGATTAACATTTTCGGAACTACGTGGCTTCAAAACTATATAAGTTTGAAGAAATGTTATATAGGTTACATTAAGATCTATGTCTTAGCTGTCTAGTGCTTCTGTAACAGAGCTATCACAAGTGGGTAGCTTTAAGAACAGAGATTTATTTTCCCACAGTCCAAGAGACTGGAAGTCTGAATTTAGAGCACAACACTAGGAGGATATCCTCAGGGTCTGTTGTTGTTGTTGTTGTTATGTGCCGTCGAGTTGGACCCGACTCATAGCGACCCCTCCTTGGGTTTTCCAGGCAGTATCACTACGGAAGTAGATTGCCCAACCTTCATTCTGAGGAGTGGCTGGCGGATTTTAACTGCCAGCTTTCTGGTTAGCAGTCAAGTGCCTTAGGCACTATGCTACCAGGGCTCCTCCTCAGGGTCTAGTGGCTGGTAATCTTTGGAGTGGCTGGCTTATAGATGCATCTGCTGTTTGTCTGTCTTCATATAGTATCTTCCCTCTGTGTACATCTTTGTGTCTATTCTGCTTGTTTTATAACTCAAAGTGATTAGGTTTAGTATCCACCTATGGTAGTCATGTTTGTGTGTCAACTTGACTAGGCCTGGTTGAGTGGTTGGGCCGCTGGTGGTAGTTATTCCTCATAATGAGACTGATAATCAACTCCATAGTGGAATCTACTGTGAGCAGCTGAGTAGCTGCCTTTGGGTATGTGGTCTGCTACCCATATATAAGCAGCAGCTTTGGGAAGGGTCTCTAGCCTATAGCACGCTTGGAACCAGCATGTAGCCGTGTCATTGTTCAGCAGCCTGTCATGCTCTGCCGAACTTGGGTATTACAATGGACTTCATTAATGGCTTGCAGTGTGGTCTGGTAACATCAGGACTGTGCCATTTTTTGTCACTTTGGGCTTCTCAGCCTCAGTAGCCAGCAACTGTCTGAGTGAAGAAAAGCCTCTAGCTTCAGTGGTCTGGGAGCTGGAGGCAGAGCTAAAACCCAAGACTGAGTGGTTTTCACCCAGCCCCTAGAACCTGGCACTTTGAACTTGGACTTAAAGCCTCCGAATTGCAAGAATAAACTCCTATTTGTTAAGGCCATCCCATCTGTGGTATATTTCTTGTCAGAGTGGCACTAGGTAACCAGAACACCACCTTATTCTAGTATAACCTAATTAATATAATAAAAGAAAAATCCTATTCCAATACAGATCATGGTTACAGGTACAGGCATCAGGATTTCAACATACATTTTTGGAGGACAAAATTCAGTGTATAACAATCTCAAATGTAATTAAATTTCAGAAAATCTAATAGGACTTAGAACAAATATCTCAAATATGTGAAATATTAAAAGAGGAAAGGAAATATTTTAACTGATTAGACAATATGAAATATGATTTTGACATCAGATAATTCGTTGCTGTTGTTGTTAGGTGTTGTCGAGTTGCTTCCAACTCATAGCAGCCCCATGCCCAGCAGAACGAAACACTGTCGGAGCCTGCACCAGCTCCAGGATCCTTGCTACACTTGAGCCCATTGTCACAGCCATCATGTCAATCCATCTTGTTGAAGGCCTTCCCCTCTTTCGTTGACCCTCTACCTTACCAAGCATGACATCCTTCTCCAGGGAATGGTCCCCTCTGACAACATGACTAAAGTAGGTGAGACAAAGTCTGGTCATCCTCGCTTCCAAGGAACATCTCGGCTGCACTTCTTCCAGGACAGATCTGTTAGCTCTTTGGCAGTCCATGGTACCTTCAGCATTCTTCGCCAGCACCCTTCAGCAGTCTTCAGCAGCACCAAAACTCAAAAGCATCAACTCTTCTTCAGTCTTCCTTATTCATTGTCCAGCTCTCACATGCATATGAGGCAGTTGGAAATATCATGGCCTGTGTCAGGTGCACCATAGTCCTCAAGGAGACATCCTTGCTCCTCAGCACTTGAAACAGTTCCTTCACAGCTGACCTACCCAGTGCTACACGTCATCTAATGTCTTGACTGCTGCTGCCATTGGCCTCGATTGTAGAACCAAGCAACATGAATTCTTTGACAACCTCAATCTTTTCTCCATTTATCATGATGCTGCTTATTGGCCCAGCTGTGAGGATTTTTGTCTTCTTTATATTGAGATGTAATCCATACTGCAGTCTGTTCCTCAATCTTCATCAGTAAATGTCTCAAGTCATCCTCACTTTCAGCAAGCAAAGTTGTATCATCAGTGTATCTCAGGTTGTTAATGATTCTTCCTCCAATCCTGATGCCACGTTTTTCTTCATGTAGTCTAGCTTCTCGGATTATTTGCTCAGCATATAGATAGAATAAGTATGGGGAAAGGATACAACCCTGATGCATTTCCTTCCTGATTTTAAACCATGAAGTGTCCACTTGTTCTGTTCGAACTATAGTCTCCTGGTCAAGGTACAGGTTCCTCATGAGTACCATCAAGTGTTCAGGAATTCCCATTCTTCTCAATGTTATCCATAATTTGTCATGATCCATACAATCAAATGCCTTTGCCTAGTCAATAAGACACAAGCAAACATCTTTCTGGTATTCTTTGCCTTGAGCCAAGATCCATCTGACAGCAGCTATGACATTCCTTGTTCCACGTCCTCTTCTGAATCCAGCTTGTACCTCTGAAAGTTCTCTGCCAATATACTGCTGCAACCATTTTTTAATTATTTTCAGTAAGATCTTACTTGTGTGTGATATTAATGATATTGTTCAATAATTTCCACATTCTGTGGGATCACCTTTCTTTGGAATGGGTACAAATATGGATCGCATCCAGTCAGTTGACCAGGTAGCTGTCTTCCAACTCTCTTGGCATAACCAAGTGAGTGCCTCCAGTGCAGCATCCATTTATTGAAATATCTCAATGAGTATTCCGTCAGTTCCCGGAGCCTTGTTCTTCGCCAATTCTTTCATTGCAGCTTTGACTACCTCCTTCAGTACCATTGGTTCTAGACCATATACCACTTCTTGAAATGGATGAAGATCCACCAGTTCTTTTTGGTACAGTGATTCTGTGTATTCCTGCCATCTTCTCTTGATGTTGCCTGCATCATTCAATGTTTTGCCCTTAGAATCTTTCAATATTGCAACTTGAGGCTTAAATTTTTTCTTCAATTTTTCAGCTTGAGAAATGCTGAGCCTGTTCTTACCTTTTGGTTTTCTAACTCCAGGTCTTTGCACATTTCACTGTAGTAATTGGCTTTGTCTTTTTGAGCTGCTCTTTGAAATCTTCAGTTGAATTCTTTTATCTTGTCATTTCTTCCATTTGCTTTAGCTACTCTCCACTCAAGGGAAAGTTTCAGAGTCTCTTCTGTCATCCATTTTGATCTTCTCTTTTTTGTTGTCTTTTTAGTGACCTCTTGCTTTCTTCATGGATGATGTTCTTGATGTCATCCCACAATTCATCTGGTTTCTGGTCATTGGTGTTCGATGCATCAAATCTATTCTTTAGATGATCTCTAAATTCAGGAGAGATATATATTAGAGATCGTATTTTGCCTCTTGTGGACTTGTTTTAATTGTCTTTAACTTCAAGTTGAACTTGCATATGAGCAGTTGATGGTCTCTTCCACAATCAGCTCTTGGCCTGGTTTTGGCTGAAGATATTGAGCTTCCCCATCATCTCTTGCCACAGATGTAGTCAATCTGATTTCTGTGTGTTCCATCTGGTGAAGTCCACATGTACAGCCACCATTTGTGTTGTTGAAGAAAGGTGTTTGAAATGAACAAGTCGTTGGTCTTGCAAAATTCTACCATGTGAGTTCCAGCATTATTTCTGTCACCAAGGCCAAATTTTCCAACTAC